TCCCCTCCACAGAGGCACACAGAGTTCTCCTCATGTCCCCTCCACAGGGGAACACAGAGTCCCCCTCCCCTCCACAGAGGAACACAGAGTCCTCATGTCACCTCCACAGGGCAGCACAGAGTACTTCTTGAGCAGCGGTGACAAGATTCGATTCTTCTTTGAGAAAGGAGTTTTTGACAAGAAAGGTTTGGAGTGGGCTCTGGATGCATGAGGGCTGGTGGGGCTGGATGAGGGGAGCTACCTCTTGGGTCTGGGAGGATGTCATGACCAGCTGCCAGGGAAGCTGGACTCCAGGTCTTCACCTTTGTCTGTTTTTTTTTTTTTTTTTTTGTATGACAGGAAATTTCTTGGTCCCTCCAGAGAAATCTATCAACAAAATTGGCCATGGTGAGCAGGAATCTGGGAGTACAGAACAGAAAATAGGCCATCTGAGGTCTAAAGAGTTTGAGCGAAGGGCTGGAGAGATGGTGCAGAGCCACTGCACGCCAGAGGTCCTGAGTTCAATTCCCAGCAACCACATGGTGGCTCACAGCCATCTGTAATGAGATCTGGTGCCCTCTTCTGGCTTGTAGGCATACATACAGACAGAACACTGTATACATAATAAATAAATCTTTATTAAAAAAAAAAAAGAGTTTAAGACAAGACCAAAGCCCAATATAGATGGTAGTTGACTGCAGGGCAGTGCTGGTGCTCACTGTTAATCAGAACTCGGAAGGGAGGCAGAGGCAGAGTTTGAGGCCAACCTGGTTTACACAGGACCTGGTCTATCCAGGACAGCCAAGGCTACAGAGAAAAAAACATGAACTTTGGTTGTCAGGCTTGGTAGGAGGTACATTTACCCACAGAGCCCTCTGTTTTGATTTGTTTTGTTTTTTCTTCCTTCTTTTCTTCCTCCCTCCCCCCCCTCTTTCTTTCTTTTTGACAAGGTTTCCTTGTATACTCCAGGCTGCCCCAGAACTCCTGAACCTCCCGCCTCAGCCTCCAGTGCTGGGTCACAGGCCCCACACCGCCATTCCTTGTTCGTTGTTACCATGTGAAAGTGTTCGTTCAGGGTCATTAAGAACAGGCAGCCCTTGCTGCTGCCTATAACGAGGGATTGTCTCAGGCTAGGATCTGGGCTGCCGTGCATCCCTGAGAGACACAGCTCTTCTCACCCCCGTGTTGTAGAGGAGGAGCCTTCCAGGAGAGGGCTGTCACCTGAGCACGTACAGGAGTGGCAGGACTGAGACCGCTACTAAGAGAAGCAGAAGAAACCAGAAAGGAGGAAGGCCCTGGACAGAGTAGGGTCAAGGTGTCTGTGGCCATTTACTAACAATCATAAAGTTTAAAATAGCTGAGAATTTCAGGGCGAGGCCTGTGTCTGGTGTCCAGGGTGTGGGAGGGATACACAGGGCCTGCCTGAGCCTAGCCCACCTGTCCCTCTCTGACCCATAGCTCTGCATGCCCATGACCCTGTCTTCAGAGGTGTGACACACTCTCCCAAGTTGCAGGTGAGTGGGGGCTGGAGGTGAGGATTGGAGAATGTGAAGGAGAAATGTGTGTGAACAGGCCGGCAGTGTGCGTGTATGTGTAAACAGGCCAGCAGTGTACGTGTGTGAACAGGCTATGTGTGTGAAGAGGCCAGCAATGTGCTTGTGTGTATGTGTGTAAACAGGCTGGCAGTGTGCATGTATGAACAGGCTGTGTGTGTGTGTGTGTGAACAGGTCATGTGTGTGCATGTGTAAATAGGCTGTGTGTGTGAACAGGCTAGCAGTGTATATGTGTAAACAGGCTAGCAGTGTGTGTATGTGTGCCCTTGTGTGAACAGGCCAGCAGTGTATGTGTATGAACAGATCAGCAGTGTTTATGGGTGAACAGGCCCTGACAGTGTGTGTGAATAGGCCGTGTGTGTGT